CAAAGATTGCCAGCAAATGACTGGCAGCTAGGGGAGAAACTCAATGTCCGTCATTTCAGCCACCTAGGTCACGGTGCTTTTTTACAGCAGCTGTGGGAAACTAGTATCAGCCAAAATAAAAAGTCAATAGGGAAGGTTAAATACAGTAGGTTAAAAATACTGGGCTAGCCTGTGGCGTAGTGATTAAAGTGGCTAGATCCTACATAGCCAACTGTGCGGTTCAAATCCTAGACCCATCGACTTAAACATACCAGACAGACACACTTGCATGCATGCCCCAAATCCTGAAAGCATTGAGAAATGGAAGAAAAGGTATCGCAGTGTGACTATTTCCCATGGAGGTGCTTTCAAACTTTTCCTGTCTCTGTGACAAGTATATGTGCCCTTTGGAAAATTAAAAGTAACAAAGAAACTGGATTTACCTATTCACGAAACCAGGCAAAAGAAAGAACAGATTTATACTCAACTGCATGAGTATAAATAGATCCCATATCCCAATTAAAGGCAGAAATGATCAGACTGGTTCATAACTGTCAGTTTCTCATAAAAATTAATATACAGCAACTTGATGGTTCAGTAATTTGAATCCCAAGTCTTTATGAGAAATAAAAACATAGATTCACAAAAAATTTGTACAAGAATGTTCTTAGTAGCTTTATTGATAATAGCCGAAAGCAGGAAATAGTTTATTCTTCTCGAGCAGAATGGATAAAGAAACTGGTATATTCTTACAGCATGAAGTAACTAACCAATATAAAAGAATAATCTACTGATAGGTGTAACAACAAAAAGTGACTCTCCGGAACACAGTGTTGAATAAAAAGCCAAATACCACAGAGTGTAAACTATAAGATTTATTGGAAATAGAAATCAGTGGAGGTTGGAGGAAGGAATACTTGAGGGGATTCAAGAGGAAGGGAGTCCAGGGAACAAGGGTAATGGGATATCTTATACTTCATAGAGGTGTGGGCTAGCTGAATCTAGGAATTTCTCAAAACTGATTGAAATGTTAAGATCAGTTTATTTTACATATGTAACTTGGAAAAAATTTAAAATGTGAATAAAAGAAACATGTAGCTATTCTGGGATTTTTTTTTTAAAGAGGGATTTTTGCTGTATGGTATGTGTACTCGTTGGAGAGACAGAGAGAGACAGAAAGCGAGAAATCTCCCCCTGGGGGAGATGGCCACGCCACAATCCTTTCTCCTGTCAGGATTTTGGGTACGCACACACACATGCCTGGTGTGTATCAAGCCTCCGGGTTGGGACTCAAGCCACAGTTGACCATGTGGAAGTCCAGCGAAATAACCATTATGCCATCTGCTGGTCCCAACTTTCTTTCTTTCTTTGATGAGCAAGAGAAAGACACAAGGACCTGCAACAAGGTCTTTTTACACCCAAATCCTGTCCCCAGGCTTCTAGTCAGCTAAGATCACAGGCAAGCCAGGCACATAGTTGTGTTCAGGTCAACCCCAGGAACTGGGATCCTATTAGGGATCCCATAGCACACGGAGGTACCCATCACCTGTACCACTATGACTGGTATTTTTTCTTTTTTTAGAATAATTTTATTTAACTTTATTATTATTTTAATTTGACCGGAGAAAAACAGAGAGAGGGGAGGGAAGGAGAAAGAGAGAGAGAGAACGTGAGAAAGCAGACTGCCAGGTCCGAGACTTGAACTGCAGTCACCATGTGGGAGTCCAGCTTCTTTAACCACCACACCACCTGCCAGCCCCAGTATGTTTTATTCTTTTAAATCAGACTATATCTATCTTTAGTGGTCACTGTTCACCATATTCTAATCTACTGCTATACTACTACTACAAATACTTAGTGCAAATGTGTATACTTTGAGTTTCAGTTTATAAAGTATTCTGTACACACCGTATTCTGTTGGCCTTCAGATTTACTCTGAGTCCTACAGGCAAGGTTCAGGATGCTTGACTTTGTAGAGGAGGTCATGTGGCTCCTGTGTTTCCAGAATTATCAAGGTGATCAGTGGGCAGAGCGGATCAGTATTTTTGACTCTGACATCCTTTCCTAGATGCCTTCTACTAAAAACTCAGATATGTAAATTTAGTTCCTCCCACTTCCTTCCTCTTCTCCTACATAAAGCCTCAGTTATATGTAAATTCAGACCCTCCCACGTGTCTTCACTGAAGTTACTTGCTCTCAGTTTTATTTATGGGAAGTCCATCCTCTTTAGTCTCAAGCAGCATAAGGCTTGGTGGCCCAGTGAATTGCTCACACCATAAGCCAAGTCAGACTGGACTGTCCTTCCGTGTCCAGGAGTGGTCCCTGCTTACGAAAGCATCCAGGAGACCAGTCACAGCAGTGAGATTATTTTCTATTAAGTACAGTAAGTTTAGAAATCAAAGTCTTTGCACCCTAAAGTAGAAAACTCATTTTTCTGCCATTCACCTCTTCCCTCCCCCAAATGGTAGGTATATTGTGATGTTTATTTAAAAATTTCTGGTTGTTGAGGCCTTTGGTCTTTGCAATTGTTTTAGGTGTAAAACATATGTTTGGAATATTATGTAACATATTAGTAAATAATACAGCAAAAAGCATCCAGAATAGAACATTTCAAATAGAAGGAAAAGAAAAAGCAGGGCCAGTTGTATAACATGCATAAAGGAATAAAAATAGTCTCTTTTTCTGAAAGCTGACAGGTGATGGCAATACGATTTTCTTAATAAGAATAAAGCAATTATTTTTACAAAAAGATTATCTTTTACAAACCTTGTGTTTGTGTTTAATGACTTTTTCTTGCTTTTCATTTGTTTATTTTTTTTCTTTCAACTTTTGCCATAGGGCATGTGTACTTGCAGGGGTGGGGAATGGGGAGATGGAGGGGAGGAGAGAGAGAGAAAGTGAGAAAGCACTCTCCACAGGGATGATCACGCCTGAAGGTGGTGTTTAAGCAGTTGAGTCCCACAAGGCTGACCGCTTGGTTCAAGTCCCAGACCAACAGCTTGGCAAACACGTTGGGTGTGTGTGTGCAGTATCTTAGTAAAATGATTCTATGCGAATTTTTATATTTGAGAATACTGTCTCCACAAGGAGAATTGAATATTACTGCAGTGTTCTAAGAGTGGTTATCAAAACTTACATATGTACAAAATCTCAGAAAGTTAAAACTTTTGAGAGTTACATTTGCAAACAGAGGAAAGTATGAATGTGAATTCTAACCCCTCTGGAAAACAGCTTTATTATCCAAAATAGTACTGAGTCATTAGAGGAATTGATTTAGTTCAATGAATAAAATCTATTATATTCTTCTGCTGAAGAATTTACTGAAACAACTAGAAACTGAAATAGCAAAGCAGTCATGAAATCTCATTAAAAATAATTTAAAAAGGAGTGGGTTAAAGAGAATAAATTCACATTTTTCTCATTTGATATTATGTGTTCATGAATACAGTTTTCAAACTTTAGTCATATAGCACATATTAAATTTTAGCACAATTAAATTTAATATTGACCATCTTTTCTAATACTTTTAGTGTCGAGATTTTTCACTTGACCTTCATGTTGAGTTACATGAAAACACAATTGAGACCATGTATATTTCACAGAAGCTACTAGGTGTTCACACTCATTAAAGGAGAGTGAAATTGTCTGAATAAATTACTTGTGGCTTTCCTGCTGGCAGCTGGAATCTGGGGGACAGTTCAGAGTGTAATAACCTTACTCCCTGAACAGGCCCTGGTCAGAATAGTTAATACCAGATTTTAGTTCTGGCAAACTGACTACTTAGAATTATTTAAACTGCTGTGACCAAATGATCAGATTAAATCATGCTGCTGCCACTGAGCAAAACAGCTCAACAAGCAGAATATGGTAAGAGGAAATAGAGCGTGTCTCGTGGTGGTTAAGGTGACTGGATCCCACAGGGCCCTCGGTGCAGTTCAAGTCCCTGACCAACCCCGGACACTTGTGTGTGCGTGTGTTCAAAATCCCAGGAAAAGAGCAGAGGAGAAGAGATTACGGTATTCCCCCATAGTGGGCGTGCTTTCTCAGTTCCTCTCTCTCTTTTTCTCTTTCTTTCCTCTTCTACAAGCTTGCATGACCTCTGGCAAAATTAAAAAAAAAAAAAAAGGAAGAAAAAGTAATTAAATACAAATATCAGGTTGGTAACAGATAATCATTTTAATTGCTTTATTTTTATTAAGAAAATTGAGTTGGGACCAGCCGTTAGCGTAATGGCTATGTCACTTGACTCCCATGTAATCAACTACAGTTCGAGTCCTGGACCCGGTGGTTTAAATTCATACCGGGTGCGTGTGCTTGCTTGCCCAAGATCCAGAGAATAGAATGTAAGAGAAGGGATTGCGGCGTGGCCATCCCCCCTGGGGGGTGATTTCTCGCTCTCTGTCTCTTTCTGTCTCTCTGGCGAGTGCATGTGCCCTATAGCAAAAACCTCTCTTAAAAAAAAAAAAAAGAAAATTGTATTGACTTCACCTGTCAGTTTTTAGAAAAAGAGAACGTTTTTATTTCTTTACACATTAGTCAGCAGATCTCATTGTTATTCTTGAATTCTGCATGGATAGGCAGCTCTTGGTTCTTTTTTTTTTTTTTTTTTAAAAAAAAAAACAAAAAACACAGAAATACTTTGTCTAAGATAAGCTTCTTTTGTGAATTAACAAGAGATTGGAAGAAAATCTTCCAACAATGTTGGAAGAAAAACTTACAACAAATTTCTGAGTTTCTTTTGGTACTCAGTGTTTTGGACCGATACATCTTTCAAAGTTTCTGTAAGCTGTTTTAAAATGGATTTTTGATCTCTATATGTTATTTCCACTTAAACATTCTAGTCTTTCTAAATAATATTGAAAGGAAGATAGAATACTGAGGTCACTAAAGGGCTCAAAGTCAGCTAAACTTTCCTTCAAATGAAGTCCCTACTAGTCTCATTTTACCCAATTCTTCATTTTAAAAATAGGGTTAAGAATAATAAAATCTATCTTATATAGTTATTTGATGAACCAATATGGACAAAGAAAATGATTCCTGAAAAGTACTTGACATAATGCTTGTTAATGTATTATTTATTTATTATAATTATTTTAATCACCTGTAAATGCTGAAATAAGTCAATATAAGATTATTTGGTTAGTCTCATGATAAACCTTTCAAAGTAATTAGCTATCATCTTTTTAAATGAATCCTCAGACACTTAAAAGAATTCCTACTTGATTATTAAGTATTCACTTTTTGGTATCCTCTTCCCTTTGACCTTTCCTTCTGTTATTTTCTTGATATCCTTGTCACCAAGTTTCATTTTTTTTATCCTTTATTTGCACATACATCTATATCATATATATGATAATTGATAGCATCCTTCTTCAAATGTCTTTTCAAATAACACTAAGAATGGTGACTAGTGAGTGCTTACTCTACATGATCACTGTGTAAGCATTCTGTCATTTAATTTTCAGAATTATCCTGAGAGGCTGGCTTTATTATTCTCAATTTATAGAGGAAAAAACTAACATTAATAGAGGTTCATTATCTTGCAAAGGTGGTAGAACCAGGATTTGTGCCCATGTCTGTCTGAGTACCTTTCTTTTCACACATCGATAGGCAAGGGTATTAAATCATGACTTTATGCTACACTAAAGTCTCATTAATGTTTTATATATGAGGGAAAAAGTATTTTCTTTTGACATTAGTCTTTTTATAATGGGTGCACCATTAGGAATTTTGAAGGATTATGAGAACATCAGTGAAAAGGTAAAATACTCTATCCGAGCTGGCGTGAATTTATTTTTTATTCACAGGTTTCATCTTGATACAGTTTTTGCACAATGATGAGCTTATCCATAAATACACACAAAAATAGCAGCAAAGTTTTCATGCTGGAATTCAATTTTTAATATTGGGTTGTCAGGAAAGTCATGATGCACTCTTGCATAGAAAAACAAAAAAATTTGCCTTGGTTTTCCCAACAGCCTAATATATGAACTAAAAATTTTACGAGAGATTGTATATAAAAAACATACATTTATTGATGATTTTAAATTTTTTCACCTATATTTCACTGTGTATTTTTCTTCTGTTGTGACTTCTCAAATATCAGAAATTACCTTATTTAAAAGAAAGGTTAGGACCAGCCCATGGCTGGGTGGTTAAGGTGACTGGATCCCATTTGGCCAACCACACTGTTCAAGTCCTAAACCTACGGCTTGAGAAACGTGCCAAATGTGTGTGGGCATGCCCAGAATCCAAAAAGGAGCGAGAAATGGAGACGAGACTGCAGTATGAACATTCCCCAGTGAAGGTTTGTTTGACCCTCTTTCTCTCTCTTTCTCCAGTTTTTTTGGCAATATTCTGTTGAACAAATATGTGTTTTAAGAATACCCTATATTATTAGGCTCCATATGATCCGATCAGGGTGCCAAGGCTAGATGAAGGAGTAGAAGACACAATACAAACTCTTTAGGCTCTTTAACTGTCTGTATTCTATTTGATTCTAAGAATTTCAGGTCTTCTACCACCTTAATAAAAATTGAATGAGGGGGCTAGCAGGTAGCATAGTGGTTAAGGCTCTGGACTTGCACATGGTGGACCATGGTTCAAGTTTTTTTTTTTTTGAGTTGTTTTTGCTATAGGGGACATGTGCTCGCCAGACAGACAGACAGAGAGACGGAGAGACAGAAGGAGAAATCAACCCCACCCCGCCCCAGGGTGTATGGCCATGCTGCAATCCCTTCTCCTCCATTCTCCTCTTGGGACCTTGGGCATGCACACACACGTGCCCAGCATGAGTTTTAAGCCACTGGGTCCGGTACTCAAACCATGGTTGACTACATGGGAGTCCAGCGACATAGCCGTATGCTAACTGCTGGTCGCAACCATGGTTCAAGTTCTGAACCCAGAGGCTTGAAACCCATGCTCGGTGTGTGTGGGTACATGCCCAAACTCCAGAGAGGATAATGGAGAAGAAGGGATTACAATGTGGCCATCCCCCCCCCGGGGGTGTGTGTGATTTCTCACTTTCTGTCTTTCTTGTGAGCACACACACCTCATAGCAAAAATCTCTCAAGTAAATAAAAATTTTAAAAATTTATAAAAGAAGAACTCTTTTATACTTAATCCAGGATTCTAGCGAATAGCTTTTAATAGTTGAGAAAAATTCTACTTTTTTTTTTTTTTTTAAGTGGAAGACATTCCTTAATGAGTGATTTTTTGAAGAGCTGTGTTGAAATGAGGCTTGTTCCTTTCTAGGTCACTAACTTAATATGTGAAGTTTTTATCTCCATTGTCATTCTTATCTGTCACAGATATAATTAGTATTGAGAAGATTTTTTTGTTTGGGTTTTTTTTTTTTTTTTTTTTACAAGGATTTGGATCTATTTCTGTGCTGCATAGTCCTCTTTCAAGTCTGAAACAAAATGTTTAATAAACTGTGATTCTGTTTTCTAACTAGAGGAAAAAAGACAGTCTAGAGAATGTTATATTGTTGCTATTCACCAATGAACAGGCAGCAAAGCTAGGAAACTAACATTCATTTAGTAGCTGCATGTGCCATGCACTATTAGGTACCTTACATATATCATTTCATTTACTTTTTGTCTAATCTAGTCATCTAGATATTGTTCCAGTTTTATTGATGAATGGATGTATTTTTTTGTTTTGTTTGTTTCTGGATTTTTGTTATAGGGCATGTGCAGTTGCCCAAGAGAGAGAGACAGTGAGAGAGAAAATGAGAAATCACCCCTAAGGGCAGATGCCCATGCCTCAATCCCTACTCCTCCACTCTCCTCTTGGCATTTTGGGCATGCCCGCACATGCTCCCAGCACTATTTTCAAGCCTCCGGGTCTGGGACTCAAACCATAGTTAGCCATTTGAGAGTCCAGCACTGTAACCACCATGCCACCTATTGGACCCAGATGTGGTATTTTTGAATATAGTTTTATGCCTTAAAAATACTAGGGGAGTGGTAAGAACACTGTTTCCTGTGTCTTCGTCATCCTTTTCATCATTGTCTATACTACGTTTCTCTCTTTTAAGTTTTCCTTCAAATTATAATGTTGGCTAGTGACCACAGATTCTACCTCCTGGAAGTAACCACTTCAATTGTCACATTTTTTAAAAGGTTTTCACCATAGGGTTTATATGCATGCCCGTTGAGGAGTGAGACAGAGACAGAGAGAGGAAAAGTGAGAAATCACCTCCCATGGAGGAGATGGTCCTGCCGCAATCCCTTCTCCTCCATTTACTCCTGCGACTTTGGACACATACTCATGCATGCATGTAGACCCAGTGTGATTTTAAAGCCGCTGGGTCCAGGACCTGAACTGCATTTTGACTACGTGGGAGTCCAGTCCCTTAACCACTATGCCACCTGCTGGCCTATCTGTAGTCATGGTGTAATGCTACTTATATCTACTACATATAAGAAAACAGGGTCTTACTGTCTACACTACTCTACAACTAGATATTTGCAGTTCAACTTGGGGAATGCATGCTGGTGAAGGTAGTCCTATCCTTGTCAATTTTAACATTGTATTTGTATGTACCATTACTTATTAGTGAAAAATCAGGTTCATGAATTTTTAAGAAAAGGCTATAGTCAGATATTATAAGACTTAGTGCTATATTTTAAAAATGTAGGCCTATAACTAATTCACCCTTAATAGCAGAAACATCAAAACTTACCAAATTGAAGGTTTTTTTGTCTTGTTTTGTTTTTGTTCTTTTTGGAGAGGTTCTTGTTATAGGGCACTTGAGTTTGCCGGAAAGACAGAGACAGAGAGATAGAAAGTGAGAAATCACCCCCAAGGGAGGATGGCCATGCCACAATCCCTTCTCCTCCATTCTCCTCTCGGGATCTTGGAAATGCATGCACACATACTTCTGTGAGTTTAAGCCACCAGGTCCAGGACTCGAACTGCAGTTGACTACATGGGAGTCCAGCAACATAGCCATTACACTAACTGCTGGTCCCCCATGCAGTTTTTAAGGCTGCATGTGTTTTTCATCTCAGCACATTTGTCTTTGACTTGTGTGCCTTCAGTCCTCAGTAAATTTCTAGGTGGGACTTGTTTTGTCTTTGTATTTTCTTTCTTTCTCTTGTTTGATTGATGATTTGTTTATGTATTTTGTATAAGGATTTGGGAGTTTGTCTTTTCTTTTTTGAGAGATTGTTGCTATATGGCATGTGCATTTACCAGAGAGACAGAGAGACAGAGAGTGAGAAATCTCCCCCCTCCCCCCACCAGGGGCATGGGCACGCTGAAATCCCTTCTCCTCCATTCTCCTTTTCAAATCTTGGGCACATATGCACACATGCCCGACATGAGTTTCAGGCCACCGGGTCCAGGACTTGAACCACAGTTGACCACATGGGAATCCAGCATCTTAACCACTCTACCACCTGCTGGCCCTAGGTGTTTGTGTGTATGGGTGTGCACACATGTTCATGGGTGTGCCCAAAATCCCCAAAGGAGAAATGGAGGAAAAGGGATCGTGGCATGACCGTCCTCCATGGCTTGCTTTCTTTCCTTTTCTTCATCTCTCTCTAGTGTGCACCATCTAGCAAAATTAAAAACAAAACAAAAAACACATGCCGACTTCCAATATAAGTGCATGCGCATATACCTTTGATTTTTTTTAAGAATAATTTAATTTGACTTTATTTATTTTTATTTGACCAGAGAGGGACAGAGCAAGAGAAAGAGAGAGAAAGAGAGAAAGCAAGCTGTCAGGTCCTGGATTTGAACCATGGTCAGCCGTGTGTGAGTCCAACGCTCTTATCCACGCCACCTGCTGGCCCCAGTGCACATGTACCTTATGTCCATCCTCAGTCATATTATGGTATATATTTTGTAAATCATTGTTTAGATGGAGAACCATGAGCTCTTCTATGATGGTCTTCATTTATCCTTTTCCAATTTGTAACATTTATATATCTCATCATTATAACTACCTTTCTTTCTGTAGCAAGTTTCTTATAACTGCTGTCAGTTGAATAATTAATGCATTAATCTATTACTAAGCACTTGCTATGAGCATAAAAATGTGTAAAGCACCAATGATATAAAAGTGAATCATCTTGGCCTGCAGTTGGCATCACTTGGAGACACACGCATGCGCGTGTCTGAGGTCTGACAGTGGCCAAGAACAAATTTAGAGGTCAGAAGTCCAGGAATGTATTTCACATAGCTAGCAAAAACAAACAAACAAACAAACAAAAACAAACAAAACAAAAAAAACAAACTTCAAGGCTAAAAACAAAGCAAAACCAGTTACTACAAATCTTAAGATAAACATTGTAAATGATGAAAAAGTAGAGTGAATAAACTTTTGCAAACATACAAAAAGAATCTGCACACCTTTCAAGAGGCCTTTCTCTTGAACTTGTGCAGAAAGATCTGATTCCTCAGCGGCATCTTGAAAATGAACCTGTTAATGTTGATGAAGCTACAAGATTAAAGGCTCAGTTGTAATGCAGTGATGATTTATCAAAGTACCCAAAAAGTTCAATCAATTAAATATTTGATACCAAAAAAATGAATCATGTTCACAATCCCTTGGGTGTGTCATCAATAACATAAATCAGTCTAAGCTACTATGAAGTGAACAGGGTACCCCTTAACTCATGTGGTGAAACCCTACCCCTCAAGGTAACTTAACTGAAGGCAGAGATTTTAGGAGATGATTAAGATTAAACAAAGTCATAATAACAGAGTTGTAATCAGAAATGGTTAGTGTCTGTTATCTTCAAAAAAGAAGAAAAAGAGATCATCTCTCCTCCAACGCACACGCATGCACACACACACACACACACACACACACACACACACACACACACAGAGTAAGGACCATGGGAGGACAACACAGCATGAAGGCTGTAAACAAGCTAAGAAGAGAGCCCTTACCTGAAACCAGCCCTGCTGATCTTTGATTTGGGACTTTCAGCCTCCAGAACTGTGAGAAACAAATTCCAGCTGTGTACGCTGCCCAGTGTGTGTGTGTGTGTGTGTGTGTGTGTGTGTGTGTGTGTGTTTGGTTCCAGCAGCCTGAACTAACTATAAGAAAAGCACATGCAGTATACACACAAGACAAAAAAAAGACTCAACTTTTCAGGACTACGAATTGTAAAGAGCTGAACCCTGAAAAACTTTAATGAGAAAGAACTGTTTTTAACTACAAAGCCCCAGGTTAATAGGCTTGAGTTATTTGTTTATCAGGTATTCAAGTGAGGCAATTGGATATCAGTCTTTCACATCTGTCTTTCTCCATTGGTCCTCTCCTCTGTGTTGCCACCGGGTCCAGGACTTGAACCACAGTTGACCACATGGGAATCCAGCATCTTAACCACTCTACCACCTGCTGGCCCTAGGTGTTTGTGTGTATGGGTGTGCACACATGTTCATGGGTGTGCCCAAAATCCCCAAAGGAGAAATGGAGGAAAAGGGATCGTGGCATGACCGTCCTCCATGGCTTGCTTTCTTTCCTTTTCTTCATCTCTCTCTAGTGTGCACCATCTAGCAAAATTAAAAACAAAACAAAAAACACATGCCGACTTCCAATATAAGTGCATGCGCATATACCTTTGATTTTTTTTAAGAATAATTTAATTTGACTTTATTTATTTTTATTTGACCAGAGAGGGACAGAGCAAGAGAAAGAGAGAGAAAGAGAGAAAGCAAGCTGTCAGGTCCTGGATTTGAACCATGGTCAGCCGTGTGTGAGTCCAACGCTCTTATCCACGCCACCTGCTGGCCCCAGTGCACATGTACCTTATGTCCATCCTCAGTCATATTATGGTATATATTTTGTAAATCATTGTTTAGATGGAGAACCATGAGCTCTTCTATGATGGTCTTCATTTATCCTTTTCCAATTTGTAACATTTATATATCTCATCATTATAACTACCTTTCTTTCTGTAGCAAGTTTCTTATAACTGCTGTCAGTTGAATAATTAATGCATTAATCTATTACTAAGCACTTGCTATGAGCATAAAAATGTGTAAAGCACCAATGATATAAAAGTGAATCATCTTGGCCTGCAGTTGGCATCACTTGGAGACACACGCATGCGCGTGTCTGAGGTCTGACAGTGGCCAAGAACAAATTTAGAGGTCAGAAGTCCAGGAATGTATTTCACATAGCTAGCAAAAACAAACAAACAAACAAACAAACAAAAACAAACAAAACAAAAAAAACAAACTTCAAGGCTAAAAACAAAGCAAAACCAGTTACTACAAATCTTAAGATAAACATTGTAAATGATGAAAAAGTAGAGTGAATAAACTTTTGCAAACATACAAAAAGAATCTGCACACCTTTCAAGAGGCCTTTCTCTTGAACTTGTGCAGAAAGATCTGATTCCTCAGCGGCATCTTGAAAATGAACCTGTTAATGTTGATGAAGCTACAAGATTAAAGGCTCAGTTGTAATGCAGTGATGATTTATCAAAGTACCCAAAAAGTTCAATCAATTAAATATTTGATACCAAAAAAATGAATCATGTTCACAATCCCTTGGGTGTGTCATCAATAACATAAATCAGTCTAAGCTACTATGAAGTGAACAGGGTACCCCTTAACTCATGTGGTGAAACCCTACCCCTCAAGGTAACTTAACTGAAGGCAGAGATTTTAGGAGATGATTAAGATTAAACAAAGTCATAATAACAGAGTTGTAATCAGAAATGGTTAGTGTCTGTTATCTTCAAAAAAGAAGAAAAAGAGATCATCTCTCCTCCAACGCACACGCATGCACACACACACACACACACACACACACACACACAGAGTAAGGACCATGGGAGGACAACACAGCATGAAGGCTGTAAACAAGCTAAGAAGAGAGCCCTTACCTGAAACCAGCCCTGCTGATCTTTGATTTGGGACTTTCAGCCTCCAGAACTGTGAGAAACAAATTCCAGCTGTTTACGCTGCCCAGTGTGTGTGTGTGTGTGTGTGTGTGTGTGTGTGTGTGTGTGTGTGTTTGGTTCCAGCAGCCTGAACTAACTATAAGAAAAGCACATGCAGTATACACACAAGACAAAAAAAAGACTCAACTTTTCAGGACTACGAATTGTAAAGAGCTGAACCCTGAAAAACTTTAATGAGAAAGAACTGTTTTTAACTACAAAGCCCCAGGTTAATAGGCTTGAGTTATTTGTTTATCAGGTATTCAAGTGAGGCAATTGGATATCAGTCTTTCACATCTGTCTTTCTCCATTGGTCCTCTCCTCTGTGTTGGGCTTCCTTTTACGTTATCGTTTTGTCCCTTGGCAACACCACGTTTATTAGATTGACCTTTCAAACAGAGTTTGAAGATTATCAGCAAACATTTCCCCACTGTCTTCAGCAAAAATTCCAGATTTGGTGTCATTACTGTCTTTTGGAAGCATGCCTTACCCCTGAGCCAGTCTTTCTGACCAGGAGGTGAAGTAGCAGGGTCATGGATCACATGTCCCCCCAGGTTGAGAATAGGAGCAAAGGACTCACCAGCACAAGGTTCACATTTCAAGAATGAAGCCAGATGGACAGACAGATGTCAACTATTGGGTCGTCAGAAAAGTAATGACTCATTTTTCCAGAGGAAAACAGAAAAATATGTCATGACTTTTCCAACAGTCCAGTACATTCAGATAACCTCAAAAGTTCTAAAGAAACTTTTCAATAATATACTAATTCTATAGATTTAGGATTTCCTACAGTAATATTTCATTGACATGTTTTGGGCTAAAAAAGAATTTGACTTTCATCTTTGGCTATATACATTGAAAAATATTCTAGGGACCAGCAGTTAGTGTAATGGCTATGTCGCTGGACTCCCATGTAGTCGACCGCGGTTCGAGTCCCGGACCCGGTGGCTTAAACTCACGCCGGGCGCGTGTGCGTGCGTGCCCAAGATCCCGAGAGGAGAATGGAGGAGAAGGGATTGCGGCGTGGCCATCCCCCCTGGGGGGTGATTTCCTGCTTTCT